CTGTGGAGGAAGGGAAGTCATTTCCCTGGTTAGAACCAGAGTCAGTCCCCATTAAGTCATTGGTACCCGTATCCTCACTATAATCCAACTCATCCAAATCATTGATATCATAACCAGAATACATTATTAAGATGACCAGGACAAGAAGTAAATTAAAAATAGAACAGAGGTGACAATGGTTGAACCACTTCATTGAGTAACAACTATGAGACACTCTAGCTATGAGACAAATTACACAAAGTTCATGACTATCGAGCGATCAGTTTATCATGCCCCCCAAGTGAGATAGATCAGACATTACATCCTTGTGATTCAAACCATTTCCGATGTTGGAGTGGAACCATACCCCGAGCAGTAGGCTTGAACCCAGCATTACCAACAACTTGCTCATAAGTGATCGTCTTGACGGCCAACATACGTTCATTACGGGGTGGAAGAACCCAGGTATGAGATCTTACTTTATGATCCAAACCTTGAATCTCCAAACAATGCTCATCGGGTCGATCTGATAAAAAACGAGCCGCATAGATATAGAGGATTGGGTCCGGTCCTGTAGTCGAGTTTTCATCCAGCTCCTTGTATACCACCCAATGTACATTAGGTTCCAAATTAGAAATAGGAATACTCTCTGGTAAGGCAGCACTACCAGCGGATGAGATATTTGTGCGGACAGGCTCAGTGGCATAATCTAAGCTGTCTCTATACTCATCTTCTTCGAACAACATTAACTGACTCAAAGAGACAGGCTTATTCAACTCTTCCAGATAGTAGATCATTGAATTCTTGTCATCTCTTCTCGATATAGTAAACGGCCCTTTGATACTCCTCTTATGGTCGATATCTTGAGATAAGAGAACCTTCTGTCCCTTCTCAAGTCTAATGATACCATCAGAGGTTGCAAGAATTTGAATTTCTCTTCTGAGGCTTCTGTCAGCCCTAGAAGTCATATAATTTACCATAGTCGTCGACATAAATTCGTGAAAGGCTTGCCACAGCTCTTCTGCATGTTGAGAACTCACATTCATATCCTCCACTAGTTCATTGGCAAAACTTTGTGGTTCGGAAGCATGAGATAACTCCATTGGTGTTAAACCCAGACCGTCCTTGATCGGGGATATATTATGAACAAGGGAATAGTTCAAGGCGCTCTGCCACCATGGGAGAGGTACTGGTTTTTGCTGCGTTCCAATTCTCACAGCTTCTTTCAAATCTCTGATAAACCTTTCGACTTTCCCTTGGCATTGTGGTCTCCTAGGAATTCCTAGTTTCAGTCTGCATCCTAAGGCCGCAGTAAATGTGCGTAAAGACTGGCTGTTATGTGAAGGACATGCATCCAACTGTAAAATTCTAGGTACTCCATATGTACTTATCCATATGGTCAATGCGCCGATTACGTCGCGAGATGAGGTGGACCTGGTTGGAACCACAAGACTCATATTCGTGCATTCACATATCATCACACAGAGATATTCTGCCCCCCAAGGGCTAGGTTCTAGAGCTGCTTCCTTGTGGAAAGGGCCGGCAAAATCTAGTTGAATAGAGCTAAAACGTCTCTGCCATCTCCTTGATGCTGTCGGTGTATTAGATAATGCAGAATGATGTTTAGCAAGTTGGCAAGTCCGACACGATTTCAGCATCTTCGTGATGTACTTAGTCATCCCATCCCACCAGAAACTCATACCTTCAGATGAGTATTTTAATGCATGCAGAACTCTCTCTAAGCTCCTATGGAAAGATCTCAGCGGATGGTCATGGTAACGGAATACCGCCCAAGCTCGCGCTCTTTGGCAAATAACTTGTTCCAAGGCTGGAACTCTGACTTGTTTGGTAGATTTATATACTCTCGCATAAGAAGGACAGGGTTGTACTTTCGGGGCTGCTCAACAGAGTTCAGAGTGGTTAGATCCTTCTTCGCCTGATCGACCATGACACGGCATCCTCTGGTAAATCCAGCAAAGATATTGGCGATATCTTCCACTGGAGTAGACTCATTGATGGTTTTCCATGCTGTCAGACATGGCAGCTTTCCATTGCAGTCAGAGTTGGCATGACGCTGAGCCCCATTAGCAATCTGATCAGCAATGGTCCTTGGAGCTAGTAAAGTAATAGCTAGCAATATAAGTGGTGCTGGATCAACAACATTGCTGGAAACAGACTGATACATCTTCTCCATGATATACTTGTAGTTCCATGTTTTAGATGTACCACGAGTTACCATTGGAAAAGCATAGGCATCAGGATGAGTAACAATCTCCCAAGATCTAGCCCACGAGAATACGCTACACCGATGGGACGACCTTTGGGGTCTTTGAATCTCATGCCCTTGAATATAGGATTACCCATATTCACCCCTAGTATAGACTCCAAAATATAGATCGGAGCTTTTGAGACTGAGTCATTCGAGCCTTCGGGGTTCTTCACCAGTAGAAGAGCATCCTGCACCTTCTTCATGAACTTGAGATTCTCGCTCGGAGCATTATCGGAACCATTCGAGATCTTGTGGAGTATGTCGACACTATCCTCCTCTTCCTCCTCAGTTGCTTTCTCGGATGATGCACCATGAAAGCTATCTGTGGAGGAAGGGAAGTCATTTCCCTGGTTAGAACCAGAGTCAGTCCCCATTAAGTCATTGGTACCCGTATCCTCACTATAATCCAACTCATCCAAATCAT